GGGGCACCACGAGCCTGTCAGGGCCCATGGGCACCTACATACATAAGTCATGTCAGGGCCCACCGTAGGCTTGTCAGGGGGCAGGGTAGGTAGGCACCGCAGTCTTTCCAGGGGCACCAGCGGCCTAGCAGGGGCACCAGTCATCACATGACTAACCAAAAATAAAGAAAATAAAAAACTGAAAATAGGGCACCACCAAAATTAAGTGGCCGAAATCCGTTGAGGTTTTAATTTTGGGTATAGGTAGGGGCATCACTTCGATTCATGACCCTCCCCTTGGAGTTTTCCCGAATCCGCCCCTGGTACTAATAGTTAATACATCAAATTTAAGGGGGGGGGGCACCTTGCTATTGGTGCCCCCCTTGCAGAATTCAAGGGGGGCACGGTGCCCCGGTGCCCCCCCCGTTCCGCCGCCTATGGTATAAGTGCTGTGCTTGGAGCTGGGTTTCCCATGGGTGATGCCAAAACTGAACCGGTCGCTACGTTCCATTTCGACCTTGGTCCTCGGTCATTGTTTGCTTGTAAGATATACACACTTCACATTCATAAACGGGGTTCAAATGTAGTTCCGGAAGGCCTTGCCAGCTATATATGTTTTTATAAAATATGCTTAAAAGCAGATGAAAGAGGACTATTGTATGTTCTATTAAAATGCTTTTTGAATAAATAAGGCTAAGGTCGAACAAGGCTAAGGTTGAACGGTCCTCTTAACTCAAATTAAGCGGTCCTCTTAACCCTATTAGTGGCAGGCTCCTGGCTACCCCTATCAGTGGCGGGGGGGGGGGGGGGCTGTTTACGACCCCCCCCTGATATCTCGAGATCTAACGGGCCGATTTTTAAAATTCAAACGGCATTCGATTTCGCTCAACGTGATCTACATTTCTGAAAAAAAAATAAATTTAAAAAATGTCAATAGGGGGGTAGAGGGGGGGGGGGGGGGTAAAAACGGGCAAATTGCAGATACATTTTAGACTGTTTATCACGGCCAGGTTTCTGAACCAATCTTAACGCAACTTTTGCCGATCGATAGAGAATGAACTAGGAATTCACATGGATCCTAAAAATATGCATTTTCAAAAATCATAGGCGGATACAGATCATTGAGATTGGGGGTACACAAAAAGTATAGTAAATAAGGTTTTTGTTGGTACTGTTTCTAAGAAGGGTGGCAATGGTATTGTTATGTTACAATTTTCTTATGAGAGAACGACTACAATTGTATTGGTCATGCATAGGCGGTGTCAGGGCACCTATGTTGGGAGGTAAAACATAACCCCCCCCTTTTTGGACGCCTGGATCCGCCTATTATAGCAAAAACGTGTCAAAAGAGGATGCACAATAACTTTGTATATGTTATCACATGATACCTTTCATTCACTGTTCGTAAAACTGGTGCATACCTACAGTTATAATACATCAGCAATCGTGATCTTCGTCCAAATGACTCGCTTCACGAATAGGACCCCCCAATTCCCAGTGCTCTGGAGCCGCCCCTGGTAAAGTTATGAACTTGAAATTTTCAGGGAATGTGCCCAATTTAGTTTTAGGAAAAGTCAGAAAATTTCAGCATCGTAGCTTCAGCGGTTCGGAGATATTCCCGAAAAACCTGAGGGGTGGATGAAAACAACCCCCCCTGCCACTAATAGGGTTAACGCAGGCTTATTTAGCAGCAGAGAATACAATTGTAGCGGTAAATGTTGCTGTGCTAATTAAGCATAAAATTCCGGTTACCCCAGCCATTACCAATAATGCGTTATGAATGTATGACGAATTATGCCACCAGGAAAGGCGGTCGTAAGCAGAAGGTTATGCAATGCACATCGGAGCAAAAACAACCTAAACGTTACATAACTTGTTAGGGCATCCAACCGGATCGCACAGAACACGAAGCCATGCCTGTGCGCATCAGAGTGCACTTGATCCAATTAGCGACCAACGGAACTCCGCTCCAAATAGATCCGTGTATATTTATTGCGACCTATTTCTGGGTTAGGAGCCAAAGCATGAGTCGGAAGTTCTGTTTTGTTTAGAATTGTGCATTTCTGTTGCTTTCTGATGTACGTGATACGAATAATTCATTCGTTATCTGCTTGAGCTCACTGGGAATATACCATGGAAAATACAGACTCGACACAATCACCAATATTACTCAGGCCTGTACGCATGTACACCTTGGAAAATGTGTGCAAGTAGGTAACCGTTTCTGTATTTATACAAGTGTGTTGCTGTGAATAAGCAGCTCCTAGGCACCTTTTCCTTGGAAATAAAATGCTGACGTCTTTGAAAGCACATCCATAATAAGCGTAGGTATCGCTGTCTTTTAAATGAGCTGCTCTAAGTTTACATACAGCTTACATATAGCCACTTTCTGCAGCTCTCACTGTATTTTTACATTTCTCAGTCGGGAACTCTGCCCGATTTAAGCTATACTGGCGGTCGGTGCGACACATCAGACTCATGTGCGGACGTGAACACTGACCGACAGCCACAAAAACCCCGCATCCGAACGAGCATAACGCCAGTTTTTGTCCTCATTCTGCAGCGCACAATAGCACAATAGCCGTCTGAGTGAATGTGATTGCCGGCAGGGCGGCCGTACAATGAAGTGGTTTTGCAAATAATGTTTCGACTGGCGCTGAAGGGTAGTCTGGCTGCAGCAGTGATAGCTGTTGAGCTCAGTGCAGACGGCTGGGGATAGTTGTGGAGCAGAGGGCAGACGGCTGGGGATAGTTGTGGAGCTCAGTGCAGACGGCTGGGGATAGTTGTGGAGCTCAGTGCAGACGGCTGGGGATAGTTGTGGAGCTCAGTGCAGACGGCTGGGGATAGTTGTGGAGCAGAGTGCAGACGGCTGGGGATAGTTGTGGAGCTCAGTGCAGACGGCTGGGGATAGTTGTGGAGCTCAGTGCAGACGGCTGGGGATAGTTGTGGAGCTCAGTGCAGACGGCTGGGGATAGTTGTGGAGCTCAGTGCAGACGGCTGGGGATAGTTGTGGAGCTCAGTGCAGACGGCTGGGGATAGCTGTGGAGCAGAGTGCAGACGGCTGGGGATAGTTGTGGAGCTCAGTGCAGACGGCTGGGGATAGTTGTGGAGCTCAGTGCAGACGGCTGGGGATAGTTGTGGAGCTCAGTGCAGACGGCTGGGGATAGTTGTGGAGCAGAGTGCAGACGGCTGGGGATAGCTGTGGAGCAGAGTGGCTGGGGATAGCTGTGGAGCAGAGTGCAGACGGCTGGGGATAGCTGTGGAGCAGAGTGCAGACGGCTGGGGATAGCTGTGGAGCAGAGTGCAGACGGCTGGGGATAGCTGTGGAGCAGAGTGCAGACGGTTGGGGATAGCTGTGGAGCAGAGTGCAGACGGCTGGGGATAGTTGTGGAGCTCAGCGCAGACAGCTGGGGATAGCTGTGGAGCTCAATGCAGACGGCTCGGCGACACTGCAGCGTCGTGAGTCACAGACGAACTGAACGACAGAGACCAGCTTGTGATGGCGGACACAAATTGATATATGCGATGTTTGAAGTGTATAAGATTGGCCAGATGATGTTTGGGACGGCGTGATAATCGCACCATATGTATCCGTGCTGTCTAAGGTTTGTCTTAGACTTGTGGTTCAGAAGGACACAGTTATGTTTTTCAAGTTCCGAGATATGTCAATGATAACAACCGAATGCTTCAGATACGGAGAAGGGCAGTGTTTATTATTTTGGCGAACGATGCATTTACAAGTGCTCTTTATCCTTTAAAGCATAAAATGATACAGATAATTCCTGCAAAATTTGTACCTGAGCTACATGTCATGTGATAAATGCGTATGCAGCACGCTGAGTTATTCATTACGAAGCTAGTCTGTACGAAACCATCGCCATTTGCTGAACAACTTAATATCCCGAGCGAAATGACATCCCAATGCACCAATGAAACATTGAGTCGTTTTATGATGACGCAAATGGGCACGCAGAGCCATAGAGACTCGCCATTAGTGTTCAGAGTCCTATCATCCTCCCCGGAGACTGATCTATGCACCCAGGTGTTCCGTGCCCCAGGCGACCGGCAGCCGCCGACAGTGATAGTGTTGAGGGACCGGCGGAGCAGCGATCGTCTGCACCGTCTGTACAGTGCACAGTGCACAGTCTCTGAGGGCAGGGCCAGAGTCGGTGGTGCGTATCGGCAGCCACGAGCTACACTCTGGCCCCGACAGCTTGATTTATCGGGTTATGTGTATGTGTAAGGATATGCAGTACGCACTCGCCTATCACGCAGCCGAATCCCATGAGCCATGAGTTTTCTGCAACCGTCAGCCGGATGACTTTTTTCGATGCTGAGTTTGATTGAGATAGCTTAGAGAGTGGGCAGAAATTGCCGAGCGAAATCATCCGAACCCATCAAACGCACGCGCAGAAAAATGGCCAATAAAGAGCTGGAAACGATCCGGGCCGTCCAGCCCATCGGTAATGGTCTTCACCGCCGGTAACGGCGAGAATGGGCCAAATTGGTTAATTAGTGAAGAAAACTACGCCCTGCGTTGGCCCGTGCTCCTCTAATCTGCCGAAAAACAGACACATTTCCTCGAGCGCGGCCCGGAGCGCCGCGGTGGATTTGAGCGGCGCGGTTCAGTCTCGCCCTGGGGCCGCTCATCGGCCGGGCCTCGGACGGCGATTATCCGCTCGACTTTGTCTCATCAGCGCCGCCCAACCCCAGCCCGGCCCGCGCACCGCCGCGGTCGGCCGGCGCTTTTCTTCAAGGTCAGCCGGTCCTAATAGCCTGCGCCAAATCGTGCGCCCGTGTGGTGGACAGGGGAGTGACCGCAGCTCCAACGTACGAGCCTGCCCGTCCCATCCGCCCGCAGCTCTTCACTGAGTTGGAAAAGACCGAGCCTGAACCTTTGGCTCAATCCCCACCGTATGCCACTACAGACTGCACGAAACATCTAGCGGATAGCCTCCTAGCGTAATTCGGGCCTGGGCCCACTGAGGTGCACGGACACCGCCACGGCGCGGCGGCGGGCTCTTCGAAACAGAGGTTATACGTGACCGCCGGCCGACCAATGAGCGCGCGCGGCGGACGGCGGCGGCGGCCGAGGCAGCGGCGGCGGCGGCGCGCGGCAGTGTGCCGCTGGACCGCGTGGTGGGCGCCGCTCGCGCGTTGCGTGGACGTTGAGAGCGCGTGACGCGAAGTTCGGTTTGTGTTACGGACTGATCGAAGTTGCGATTTGCGACTGTTCCTGAACTGAGCAGAGGAAGCCGATTGTAGGCTTGGATCACTCACAGAGGTATGTTTTTTTTTTAACTCTGACTTGGCGCCAACTTCAAGATGTTTCGCTTCTCAACTAGTTTGTTGCCTTTTCATTTTATCGCGGTGTGTCTGTGTGAAAATATGTATGATGAATGTTTTAGAATCTAATGTTGTCTTTGATGAGCCAAGATGTCTGCGATGCAAGCCTAATGACAGTGCCACTGAGTGACATTTGCCCCATTGCTCGACTAGTTTGTTGAATTAGCGCGTACTTCTGTATGGAAAATTCAACACGTCACATTTCCCGCGAGGACTACGTCAAATGCCATCTTAGCTGGAGCGAATCTTCTGTGTAGTTAGTTGCATCACCCGGCTGAGATATTTGTTTATGTCCCGGCGAGTCAGTCGCCCCGTGTCCGGGGAAGCAGGTCCCGTCACTGGACTGGCCTCTGTACTTTGAAACGGTCCACTAACTCAGCCAGTTTACACCAACAACACACGGCGGACGACCCTGGCTCGTTAGTAGGTACTCGTACCTTTCGGTGGGATCGTGGCCAGCCCGGCTGTCTCGGAGGTCGTCCCTTCCGTACGGCTCGTCTCTGGCACACAGCAGCGTCTGCCGTTCCCCGAACTGCCTGTTTATCGTTCGGCCGATGCTGCTGTCCGAGAAATCACTCGATCGAATTACTGGCCTGGCCGCGCTGACGGCTGGCGGCCGGTGGAGCTCAGGCCGGTGTCAGGATTTGCATAGAGATCGTGGCCGGGCCGCCGCCGGGCCGTCTGGGCAGCCACTGAGTGGCGAAAGAGCGGCTTACCAGCCACTTAGTGACGGCGCGGATCACGCCAGTGCGCAGGTGGTGGCCGCGGCACGGCGAAATCACGCAGTCCGGGCGCGATGGAACTGAAATGTTACCACTGGCGAGTACTACGACTTACGAGGAGTAACGTAGAATGTTATAGTACGCGGCAAACAGGAAAATCCGCGACATGAGTAGGACGGGTTGGACGGAATGTTACTAGCATTGGTGGACAAAGAGCATTCTAGGTATACATGATGCTGTACCAGTGTCCTGTTTCTAAAACGATGGCTGGCTGCATTGAGGTTTTGACATAACATGTCAGTGTAGCGTTTCATTCCTATAACGGATTCGTGCGTGCTTGTATGCCGAGACATCGCTGGTGATATAAGGCCAGCGTTATTTTTTTCTGGATTGTATAATGTAGGTAGTTGCATTGAATATGAGGTAGACCTGAAATCACAACCTGAGGCCTCTTGCACCAAAATCCTCTTGCACCAATGCTTGGATTATTTTGCATCGTATACCCAGTCCAAGTCTCAAATGTAACAATTTGCGTGCAAAATTTAGCAAGCGTATGTGGGATTATGTATTGGGCTATTGCAAACAAATGTACCACCGTTAGATTAGCTTATTCTGAAATCGGTTTTTCGATTTTACCTAGCTAGGTAGTTTGGTGCAAGAGGCCTCTGTTTGACAAGAGGACGGTAATTTATAAATCACTACGTTGACAAGCATTAGATAACATTTTGAAAACACTGCAATCTAGGCGCCCTGTCATTTCTTAGAGAGAAAAACAGCCGTCCGAACAAAGTAGACATGCAGTAAATTGGCACTGACAATTTGCAACTGGGTGCAGATTATCTTCATCGTCTCCTGTCTTTCGCACAAATTTATGTATGTACGCCTAATTATGCGTCCTGCCCTTCTATTGCCTGCAGTTATGCTGCATGGGGGAAAATTCAAATGAGCTGAATGAATATTGCGTATTCGCTCGCGGATTGCCAGTCAGACGCTAATGCAGAAAGATGGTAGTGGAACAATTTTTGCGATAACTGAAATGACCGAATAATTGCGGTATGTGAAAGTCAAACGAGCGACAGTTAATTCTGCACGCATTTTTGTGATCACATCCAGTTGATCAGCGGCGCTCAAACAGAATCACGCTTCGCCGGCGATTTAGAATAAATCAGAGCGCGGACATGTGAAGCGCCGACGCTAATGGTTCGCCGGCACTTCTAACAACTGTCTTCTGTACGTTATTATCTCACTCGGTCGGCGCGGCGGGCCATTTAACGCTGGCGAGCGGAGCGTGCAGAGCGGCCCCCTCGGCCCTCTCCCCTCCTGCCTGCACCGCACTCACTGCGCCGAGCCAGTCCGTCAGCGCAGCTCATAACAGAGGCTCGCGTTGCACAGCTCCATAATCAAATGGTGTCAGAATGCCCCCTCATGGGCCCGGCCGCGGTGTACCACTACGCTCCGACCGGCTCGTAGCCTTGGCGGGGCCCGCCTGGGTGGCCGTCTCCAGCGCCGCCGGTAACGTAAACATTTTCGGCGCGACTCTGGGCTGAGCTGATGCCAAGGCTTACCTCCGAGTTCACAGACGCGATCATCTTACCATTGATGGTGGCTATTTTAAGTCTGCATATCTGCCTAGGATATCATGAGATGCTGACCACTTTTGGATCAATCGCCATTTAGATAAGATGCCAAAGTAATGTACGGAACAAGTCCACGTACCTGTCCCATTGATCAGCCTTTCAGAGTCCGACTAGCAACAAGACATCCAACCGTGCTTGGAGAGCAGCTCACAGGTCACTACCCGCCACCCCCGCCCCACCTGCGGTCGGACTGTGGACCGCCCAGTGGGTGTTACTACGAGCGAGGGGCACTACGCAGCTCACCCCGGACGCCTACTACGCGGCCCGGCGCTGTTGCTGGGCGTGCTGGGCGTGCTCTAAGCACGGCGCGGCGTGCTGTCCGCTGTGTGCACGGTGCAGACGATGTGTGTATGTAGGCGCGGTGCAGTGTGCAGGTTGATGTCTCGCCACTATAGCGCTCCGACCCTGGAGGGTGCAGCGGTGGCGTCAGAAAGGTCCTGACCCCGCGCCGGTAGGGTCGCCGGCCCCCGCCGCCCACCCCTGCGCCGCCGCCGCCGAGTTTACAAACTGCCCGGCGCTCGGTCAGCCGATTCGGCCGGAGTGTTTGTTCAGCGCTACACCGCCGGCGGTACACAGACATACAAACACACTGGGGAGAAGGGGCAGCACGGGGCGCCCGCTGCGGTCAATTTGGCGTGGCCACCGTGCCAGGTCTTAATTACGTGAGGCCGCCGGTCTGATTTATACGCACATTACGCAGCGCTGGCGAGTGGACGCTGCGACAATAGTGGCGGCGGGGCGGGGGCGACGGGGGCGGCCGCTACTGCAGGCTATCACGCCGCCCCCGCCGGCGCCCCCGCCGGATGGATTGCCCCGCGGCAGGTGACCGCCCGCCCGCCGCGCCGGAGCCTCGACCACGATGGATTGACCGCCCTCAGGAAGGTGGTAAACCTGCCCCAGTTTCGGGCAATGGTGTCGGGTCAGCGCGGTGGGAACGGTGGACCGGCCGGCGGCTGTTGTGGACTCGGCGGGAGTCAGTCACGCCTGCTCTAGATGACGCCTGATGACGGCGGCGGAGATGACGCCGCTCCGTCACCGCCACCCGATGACGCCTCGACAGCGCCGTGGGATGTGCCGTGATTCGAGCTGACGCCTTTGTACGAGTCCCAGCCGTGACACGACAGTGCTCCGAATTATGTGTCAGTCGGGTACCGCCCGCCGTGAGCGGCCGTACTGCGCCTGTGCGACCGTCGCACCCCGCCGCGTCACCGCGTCACCGGTCCGACAGCCACCGCTCGTGATCGGAGTGTTACCTGACGTCACAGAGCAGCGCCGTGTGTTCCGGCGGCGCCTTCGGGAGCCGGCCGGAGGTACGGGAACACGACTGGACGACCAGCGGCTATAGCCGGCCGAACAGGCACGGCGCCGACCGCTCTCACGCGGCACGGACTCCCGCTGAGAGGAGAGGGCGGTTCCCGCCCAGATTCCCTCGGTATAGTGGAGTTCGGGAGCGACTATGAACTGCTGAGAACGAGCCAGGCACGACCTGAGCAGAGAAAACGGCACAGCGCGCCGCGCCGCCGGCCCGGTTCTCACGCCGTGCTCCGGTGACGCGCTGACCTGCTCCGGAAGTGAATCACGTCCGGGTCACATTCACCGTCCGGAAGTGAGCGCGGCATGGTGGTGGTGCCATCCCGACCTACCGGTCGCGCTGCCGTCCCTTCTCTCCTCCCCTGTCGGGCCGGTGCGGTGGGCCTCTGTGGTCCGCTCTCCGGCTCAACGACTACGGTGACTCACTTCATCCGGCCGGCACGACGCCGAGAAGTGAGAGGAGGGAGGCTGAGAGAGCAGCTCGTGACGGTGCACCTCCCAGACCTCCCAGACGAGTCACCAGCACGTGAGAAACCCCCGCTAATGCGTGCCGGCCGGTGGGCGGGAGGCGCTTTCCAGCGGGCGCGCCCGGCCGGTGGGGTGTCACTCAGTGACGGTTTAATACGCCTGTCTCGGCGTGGAAACGTCAGCGCCATGAGTGGCGACATTCCTGATTCACGCACACTCCCCCGACTGAATCAGGTGCCACACTCTCCCGCTCTGTCCTCATGGGCACTCTCGAGCTCTCTCCGTCTGTGCCGACTGAAATGTCACCGGCCGCCGCTCGTAGGTCAGCGGGCGTGATGCCAGGTTGGCGGCGGGCAGTTGCGTCGTCCCGCTCGCAACAGAGCCGCCGCCATGGTTCGCGCGGTCCGAGTCGCCAGAATCAACAGAGTTAGTTCTGTGGTGGCGGCGTGTGTGGGCGACAGTGGCCAGTCGGGACAGTTAGCGTCCTGCCAGAGACCGGCAACGAGCCGTCACAAACGTACGGCGTCATCGGGACAGCCCGCACACAGTGCAGCGTTCTCCGAGCTCAGCCAAACGAGCAGTCCGACGGTTCATCTGCACGGCCGCTGCTCGGCACATCACGCGCCATCCCGAGAGCACGGCGGCCCGGGGCGCCGGCCGGGCCGGAATTCCTGGCCGCCGCCCCGGGCGCCCCAGCCTGTCAGGTGTGGCAGAAATAATGAACATCGCCGCCGGCGCGGCGGTGCCGCCAACTGAGGCAGCCAGCGGCGGCCGGGCTGTCCACTGTGCAGCCCCAGCCGAGCGGCGGCAGCGGACTAGCGGTCCGGACCCGCTGCACCGCTCGTGCGTGAGTCGACTTAGCAAAAATCCAGTCAACAAGACGCACACACAGTGCACGGACAGCATGCAGCAGCTGTGAGTGGAGGTCGGCTTTGTGGAACTGTTCGGACCGGGCCGGGGCGGTCAGCGGCGGCCCTGAGCGAGGACTGACCTGCCGGTCGCCGCTCTTGGTCCGCTGACAGTACCGCTACTGTCGGCCGTGCCCGGTCCTCGGCTCACCGTCTGTCGATCGCGCTATTGACGGCGTTGTGTCGCCTTCTGTCGTCTGCGCTGTCTTTGTCCGTCTTTCGTCTCCGTCTGTTGCTCACTGTGAGCGTTTTGTCCGGATAGCGGCCCGTCTCGCCACAGGAATCTGTTTACCGCTGCTGGCCCACTGTACCGCTGTTGCTGCACTGGTCTCGGCCGCTACTGGCTCTCCTTGAAGCAATCAGCGGCTCTCAGAACCAATGAACCGTCGCCTAACAAAGCGGCCGCTCGGATGATGCCGAGTTTTTGCGCTGTCAGCGCATACCACGAGCATTGTGACGCGTCCGACGGAGCGAACACCCGCATCGATGTGGCATCGCCGACAGCCTGGGCTCCCTTGTAGCATGACGACCTGGTGGGAGTAAAACCGGCGGGGAGGGGGGGGGGGGGGCAACGGTCCGACGCACAGTCGAGCGAGGGACTGCACCGATTTCAAGGCCGCCACGGTGCGTGCAGGGTCAACGGGACATCAATGGAGCCCGCCGGCCGCCTTCTGCCCGCCGTGTCCCACGCAGGTGGTCCGTCGGCTCCGTCCTGTGTCCCGATGTCACCGGTCCGTAAAGCGTCCCAATTACATGTGTTACACAGACGAGCATTGCGCAGTACCGGCTACTGCATATAATCCGCCGTCTGATCCGGCACAGCCATTCACCACCGCGGGGCTTTTGAGACGTCACAGGACAGCCGAGCGGCAGCGCGATGACGAACGAGGTCATTCGGCGGTCGGTGCGCTCCTGACATATACACCAGAGCGCTGCGGACCGTCCTGCTCCGTGGCGCGGCCCTCCGCGCGCTGATGACCGATTGATGGCGGACCTCTCCCCTCCGTGACGCCGTGTAATGGAGCGCGGCCGAGCCGGTCGGCCGGACACTCGGCCGCGGTGGACGGAACCCGACAGATGACCGCAGTGCGTGACCAGACCGGCCGTCTGCTGCGCACCGCGGAGTAAACACAACAGAGAGTACGCAGAATATAAACACAGACAATGTCCCGTCCGGCTGACCGACCTACCGCTCCGGCTTACGCTGCTGCAGCTCTGCCGTTTCACCATGGCGAGCGGACACCGTTTCAGGGCCGGTGAGATTCCTGCGTCCCGAGTGAGGGTCGCCGGTGGCCGGCGGCGGAGCGAGCTCTGCCGGCCGGCTGCCGTGACCGTGGCAGTGCGGGAGGAGGGGGGGGGGGCTGCACACCATCCGTCAGCCACCTGCCGCTCCTCTGGTCCCTGCTCCGTGCTCTCTGTGCTCCCTGTGCTCTCTGTGTCCTCTGGCCGTCCCCGTTCCGCCCCATCCGGTCACGGTTCACGGGCTCTTCACGGCCTCTCCCTGCCGGTCAGGGTCACCGTCCGACGTTGAACTATTGTCATCCCGTTCTATCCGCGGTTAACAGCCCACCGCCCATCCGGTGCATCGGGACACGTCAGTCTGTGCCATGGGACCGCACAGACCCACTGTACCGCCACATTACACGACACAGCGCCACATATCGCCCCACAGCGCCACAGCTCCGCCCCACGGCGCCACGCGGCGGCTGTTCAGGTGGCCAGGGTCAGGTATCATTAACCGCGAGTGGTCCGAACTGGGTCAGGTGACCACGCCGCCCTCGCCGGTAATAGTCGCGCTGCAGTTCCGGCCCGTGGTCCGCTCCGGGTCCGAGCCGGGTCCACTCCGGGTCGCTCCGGGTCGCTCCGGAGGCGTGACCGGTGTCGGTGGCCCGGAACGGCCGGTGGTCAGCGGACAGCAGTTAGTGGTCTGCAGGCAGCACTTAGCAGTCAGCAGCGGTGAGCAGCTGCCGTCAGCGGGGGGCTCCCTAAGCTGACGCGGTTACAGCAGAGGGACCCCGCTTGGCGTCGATCGGAGCCCCTCTACGGCCGGCCTCTCTGGCGATTGCAGTAGCTGCCCCGAGACGCCGTGAGTCAGACAACAGCAGCAATCACCTGCTGAATATTCCTCCAACATCCGACATAAATCTCCGGCCATTCAGGACACCGTGAGGCAATCGAGCTCTCGGTACGGGTCGCTCCGAGCCGGACCGGTCGTGGATGACGTGGGAGTTTTCACAGAAGCCCGGCCAACTCTCTCTGGCGAGTTCCGGCGACCGTGGCCAACGGAAGGAACTAATCCTGACGAGATTGCGTGCGGGCTCATCACAATCAGCGGCTCACCGTTAGGGCGTGGGACAGCCGAGAAGAAGCGCCGACGCGCCGCCCGCGGCACCGTTCGCCGCCGCTGCTCACCGTTATAGGCTGGGAGCGGAGACCGCCATCCGTCTTCAGGATCGCACCGCAGGCATGATAGGGCATTGACGCGTGCGAGAATCGAATGAGACTGCGCCTGGGATTGCCGGCTCCGGGCTGTGATAGGCCATTGACGCGTGTACGGATGGAGAGAGACGGCGCCGGGCAGCCAGTGTGGCACACGGGGATGACGGGCTATTGACTGGACGCCGGTCTGAGACCTGAATGAGGCTGCACTCGGCATTCAGACTCACAGTGTGATGGGAGGGGTGACGGAGGGAAGCATTGACTCTGGCGACACCTGAATAGAGCGAGGTGGTTCTGCTGGTGCTCGGTCCGCTTCAGTTGTCGCGGATGACGCAACTCGGCGGCGTCACCTGCCGATAGGCGCCACTCGGCTGACAAACAATCGCGGACCGTGCAGCGGAGGATTGGCGCTGCTGCAGCCTGTTTGTGCCGCACCGAGGAAAAGATCAGTGCTCCGACCGACACGGCGGCACATCAGATCGAACAAGGATCGGTGGCGACAGGAAAAAGGAAACGGAGCGAACATCGCCAGCCGCCGCACGCCACGAGCACTGGCCTGGATCGCCGGGATGGGGCTAACAATAGGCAATCGGCCGGTTTGGGCTGCCGCACGTGGCGACCGCAGCCGGAGCTGGCGGGACCGACCGGACCGGGTGGGGACGGACAGCAGGCCAGTCGTGAAATAAGGCCGCCGGCGCCACCAGCCGTGACCGGCGAGCCGTGAGTCACCGTGAACCCCGCCGTGACAGTGGGGCGTGCAGCCGGGACCCGCCCCGGCAGTCGACTGTCGGACCGGCGAGTCCGGGGCTATTTCTGTTCGTCTGGGGCTATTTCGGCTCAGTCAGTGTCCGCCTGCTCACCTGGCCCATTTTCCTGTCGGCAACCCTGTCTCGCTGCAAACGTCCCGCGCCATCAAAGCCACCACAACTCTCAGAGCTCTGAGCGAGTGTACGATCACCGTCGAATCGGCGTCTTACCGGCCATAGGATGAGTGTTTTACGGCCCGTAATACGGCCCGTAAACCGTCGGAGGTGACTGGTCGCACCGAGAGGCACTGAGCTGTGGAGGGCCGAGGGGGGAGGAGGCGGCGCGGTGTTTCGCTATCTCCACCCACCCGTCGAGTGGTGCCTTTCTGACGTCTGTTCCCGAGGACAGGAGGCGACAATTTGCTCTGATTAATCGTCAAAGTGAGTGACCGTAATTGTCGACACGATTCTCTGTGCAGAAACTGGCACAAGGTGAGCAGCCGACAATTTCGGGCAGTTTTCGGTGCGCACTCGACACACACATCTCAGGTGGGGGCTTGATTCAATTAAACGCTCTAAGAGGCTCCTTAGCCTTTGCGGTGAGTTTTATCGCTGCGTTGGAAGACCGCAGGCGGGGTTTACTCACTCTGTGAACGGTGTGGTGGTGGGCTCCATCGGTCCCACACCCGTCTGTGGCCGTGAACCTGACTACCCAACTGTGGCTAATTGAATCGGAACGGGCGGCGTGTGCTGCGCCGGCGGCGGCCGCCGAGAACAGCTGCGCCAGGGCCGCCAGTCCATTTACCGAGAACCATGTCCTTCGACGGCGGTTTACCCGAGACCAAACCTTCAATCATCCACAGACAGCGCTTCATTTGTCCAATGGTGACTCACTTATTTGTTGTTTGGTGAATGCTTCATAACTGTCATTCGGCACCAGTCGTTCTTTTCCGCCTGCGATTAACATCGCGTTGACCTTCGTAGGCTCATCTTGTCCTTCCAGCGCTCTCGTCTTTAACCTGGTGATTAAACTCGCCCTCTTCTTCCACAGAAATGGTGACAGTCTGTTAGTGTCGCCCCTGCTCTGCGAGACTCTGCGCCACCCTCACCATGAAGACGACGGCCGTGCTGGTGACGCTGCTGACGACGACCCTGGCCTGGCAGGACGACCTGGTGCCCCTCCGGACGCTGCCCCTCGGTGAGTACCCAGTACCGAGAACTCCCCGGCGCTCTAATACAGCCCTGCTGTCCGCAGTGAATAATGCATAAGTAACGAGCGCCTTATCATGTCGGTGTATGAGGAGGGTTGAGCCACTGCGTTGTTACCTACGACTCCCATGAGGCTGTGGGGCGCCTCTGTCGGTGGTGGTTTGTAACTGTGTCTCCGGTGAGCTGACACCGGTCTGACATTGACACTGCTCTGGCACTGCTCTGACAAACACCGGTCTCTGATCTGACCCGTCAACTGACCGCGCCCGTACCCAGAACGGCTTACCGCGACTCTCCGGGAACCAGCCCGACCGCCGCCGTTCCCACAACCGAACTGGATATCGGCTGTATCTGATAACCCGGTAATAGCTTTTGTCGGACATATTACGTTGCTGCCCTTCAGTTGATGTCTCGATGCTGATCAGCCGAACTATTACTGCCACGTTTACGGCTATTTTTCTGTCGTGATGACATGCTCACCTTCACCGTAAGCCTCATTGCACCCGGTCTACTAGTGTCCCTTCTAATCCACACGGCTGCAGCGGCGGCAAACCCTCTCCTCACGCCGCGGGCCGAGACGAACCGTTTACGTCACGGCAGCGACGACAGACGGCCGTGATGTCATGTGACGTCACAGCTGCAGCGTGACGGGTCGTCATGGTCTCTGGCGCCGCTGTCAGGGTGAACGGAAGAGCCATGTTGAACCGTCTGGGGCGCAGTGTTGTGAACAACTGTCCCGGCCCGGCGTCCCCCCGATCGGACCCATTAGGCGATCAAACACTGACCATCGACCATTACGCAATGTTTGGCCGGAACCGAGTGGTCCGGCGACAACTTCCCCGTCCATTCTGCGTGGTTGCTGCCAACCCCTTCCTCCCGGCCGCACCATAATGATTTCTTGTCACGGTGCTGCCTGCAGCGCGACAGCGACGTGAGGCGAATGATATAACGCCGCCGCCGGCAGGGTAGGCTGTCCCGCCGGGCGCTGCCTGCGGGGTAGACTGTGCCGCCGAGCTCGGAGACTGCTACGCCGGACCAACACCTGCCGGGGAGGGGGCGCGGGTGGGAGAGGGGACGAAAGCGAGGGTGGGAGAGGGGAGGGGCCAACAGAGGGCGACGACGCGTGATTTAACCAGCGGACGTGGAGCTTCGAGCATCTGTGAACGACCGCCTACGGTATAATTAACCCTGCGAACTCGCGCGAACCGCCGACGAACCCTCGGCTAACCCCACGCTAACCCCTCGCTAACCCTAGGCGAAACCGCGCCACACACCGGAAGCCGGTGTGAGAGTTTCTGGGAGCTACCGTCGACCTGAAGTCGTTCTGCAGCGGCCTGACGTTAGATTAATGTCCGGGTAACGACGACCGCCGCCCATATTTTACCATTACCGTGTCCTGTCCTATACAGACCGCTGTATCTGCGTCATCAGCACCGAGGCGGCTGAGGGCGCCTCTGGAGAGGTGGACGGGTCGCCGCCGCTCCCATCGGCGAAAGCGTGGGTCGGGCGGCGGCGGGCGGGGCCGGACGCCGGCCGCCTCTCCGCGATTAATTGATTGGCGGCTGTTGGGCTGGCGGCGACGACGACGGCCGGCCGCCGCGCCAGACTCCCACGCTGTCGCCTCCACGAGCCAGTTTGAGCCGCGGGCGGTGGAGAGCGCCGAGCTCGCCGGGCCTGCCGTCCGTCTGCCTGTCTGCTTTCGCGGCAGTCGCGTGTCTATTTATCCAGAGTCGGCTGTTTTACTGCCCACCTTCTGAGTTCCTACGTGTCCGCTCTTTGGTTTGCCCTGTCGTCGCCGGGTGACCACTCTGCCGGCGATGCTCCGGCCGCCGCGGACTGGTCCTGCGCGCGGTGTGGGCCCGGCCGGCGCCGTGTTTTTACCGCTCTGTGTACCGAACGCTGCGTGTGCGGCGATAGTGGCGCCCGTATCTGATCCTGGCGGCAGTCCCGGCGCGGACCAACAGGAGACCCAGACACGGATGAGACGCCGCGAGACGTGGTCGATCGAGACAAACAGCGTGGGTCCCGCATTAGCGGCCGAGCGCGTCACAATGCCCTGCCGGCGTCCCTCGGTCAGCGCAGAATGGCCCGCGGATGCGGCCGACCCCCGCCGGTGCCGTCTTGCCGCAGAAAATGGTCGCGAAATGGGTAGAGGCCGGCACAATGCCAGGTGAAAATGGGGTCCGTCTGGTTTGAATACAAAGGCGCGTCCGTTAGTCGGGCCCATAGGAAGTGCCGCGCTCGTCCCGGGGATGTCTGACGCTGGCCCGGAATTAGCCGGTAGGCCATAACGACGGCGCCAGGCTGGCTGGACCACGACAAATCCGGCGCACCCACCGGAGGGGCGCCCCCGACCCGCCGCGTACCGCCACCTTTTGTCGGAGACGCACGCCCAGGGTACGCGGAGAAGATCGTTAAACGGCCGATGGATCAGAAGGAAACCTGACAAGAATGACGGCTGACGGCCGTGACGCATCGCGCCCATATCGCACGGACCCACACAATACAGCGCGCTTTCTCGGAGGTGAGCCGCCAGCCGCAAAACACGGTCCTTTGCGAGCCCCCTCCGTCACGGCTCGTAACACGGAAGTGCGCCGTAATCGCTTCGTGGCTCATAAAGTAATTACTGCCCCTGACTAATTGCAGGTGCCTTACACCTAACAAAGAGCGCCGACTGGATGTCTGTCGATGAGAGGCAGCCCGATATCAGACCGCACCGCCAGACACAGTGTGGCATTAACCTGGCTGCAACCCCTCGTTTTTCTCCAGCCGCGGGAAAGAAAGCCGCCAGTTTCACCGCTCCGCGGCAGCCAGAGGGAGCCGGGAGGATGCGCGAGAGCCGCCACTTTCGGACGATAGTCGGGTGTGGTTTCTATAAGCGGTAATTGGAGGGTGCCGGGGGCATCACCTCGCCTCTCGCGGCCCGTTCGGCGCGCGCCCCGGCCGCGCCGCCGACGAGAAAGTGAGCCACCGGCCGGTCGTCGGTCAGCGATACGCATCGCTTCTGTCAGCCGCTACAGTGACCGATCTCCGGCGCGGCCGCGGCGGACCGCGCCGGGACAGCGTGTTTGTACGACGCACCGCCGTCGTCGCGTGCGACGCGCCGGGTCACGCGAGCTAGACGGACCGCCGCGGCCCGTGATTTCTCCCCGGAGAGACGTGTCACCGGGCCCGGAGACGCGCTGATGGCTCGGAGATAGGCGCCCGCTGCCGCCTCCCGAAATACTCGGGCCGGGGAGGATGGATCAGGTGACTGGGGGCAGTGTCAGGTGACATCAGGTGTCATCAGCCGACGGCTGGGCTAATCAGTGTCATCGTCTGTCAGGGATAGCCCGGCCGGGCCGGAGTATGGCGCCGGCTTCCGCGTCTCTCGTCTCCCGGTCCTCGTCTCAACAGCAGGGTCCGCGCTCCTCCGAGGGAGCAGGTGGGAGACGGTCCCCGGCCCGGTCCGGTAACCGCCACCCTGAACCCCCTGACCGCCAGGTGTGCAGCGGTCTGCGGCAGGGGCCATGTCCCAGCCGGGGCCATATGCTACTGATGGAGCTGGGGTTCTAACGAGGATACGGGAAGGGGTGCCGCCTCGTTCCCACTGTCTGCTCCGGCCCGCGCTGTTCCTCCGGAGCTCCGGTCGGCCGGCGGGGCACACCGCAGCAGCAGCAGCAGCAGCAGCAGCGCGGCGTGTCTCAGAGCTCATCAGACAGCTGTCGGTGCCGTGCAGGCGATAACCCGGCACACATTAGCCATGCTGCCAGGCCGGCATATGGCCGCTCACCACCAGCGGCGCTCAGAGAACAGCTGGTGCGCCCGACGCTTCATGAACCCGAACGCGCAGTGTCAGCTTGCATTTACCACATGCGAGTATGACGGAGGCCTCATGGACTGGCTGAAGACAGCCGCTAAAATCCAACAGTAAATCTGACGATAGCGGCGATATTTGAGCAAGAGAAGCTGTGGCGCTCTGGAAACACCGGCGGCGCACTGGAGGCTGTTGTGGCGCAGCGGACGTCCGCCGGAAGGTCGGTCGGAAGCCCCCCCCCCTCACCGGAGGGGAGAGGGGAGGTGTCGGCCCGTCTGAAGGCTCCGTGGCGTCGTGCAGTCTTGCAGCTGGGGCCGGCTGTCGTTCTGCGGAAACGGAAACCCTACACCGGATGTGTAGGTTGCGCAGTTCGAGTGAATATCGTGGAAATGCCGTACATCGGAATCAAGTATCGAGCATCATCCATTGGCTTCTGGCAGCCAGCTCAGTTTTCTGTAACCAGCCTTCCATCATTACATAAACGAAATGAGCGAATAATACTCCTGCCAGCGAACCATCACCGTTCCAGTCCTGACGTCCTGGTCTAGTGTGGGCCGATGTTCCCGTCTCGCGCCGGATTAACCTGAATACCACCGGTCAGCGGTATCGCACTGCGATGACGGCCGACCGCGCGGCCTCTCATGCCGCGTACATTGCGCTGTGCGGCCTGCTGCGCCGCCAACCGCGACACAAGAGTCGGACAAAGTCGGCAGATTATCCGCGACCGGTGCGGCCGAGTGTCCACCCCGTCCGTTTTCGAGGACGACGGATGAGTGTTAGTCGTGGCGTGTCGTCTGGTGATCCCCACACGGGTTTGCTGCAGCGAGCTATACACAAGTGACACGTATATCGCGTACCCTGTCGATTTTTGCCCCTGTTTCCGGGCGTGATACCTCCCCTGCTGCTGTTATCTTCCCAGCCCCGGTCGGGCCGCCCCGCCGCTGCCGGCCGGCGAACAGTGAAGGGTGGAGTGCCATCACTGAACCCGACCACAATCGACCGGAAGCCGCGTCTTTTGTCACGCCACCGGCTCGTGAAGGGTTGTGGAGCTAACCCCAGCCAATCTGCCGGCGCCCAGTCAACAAGACGGTCACGCTGCCACTCTGACGCCGTCTCCGCTTCTGTGACCACCACCGCTACTACTGCGGCGTGTCCACTGTCCATCCCATCCCCGCGCTTATTATCCCCTGTTT